GACTGAGAAGACTGTTTTCTGTCAAACGCCGATCTATAGTATTAGAATTTATTCATTTACTCGTTTCACAAATTTAATTGATGTATTACCTCTGAAAAAGTGAAAAATGGTCCACTCTGACAATTGTGTGATTTTTCCATCTGTTTCCATTGTTATCTTACGAGGTCGGCTATTTTTACTTAAAGCTGTTATTCTTCCTTTGTCTGCCAATTATGCGATGTGTTTATCAGAAAATAATGAATAAGAAAAATAACCAAAATAAAATTTGATTTCATACAAATATTCATGAAATAGCAGGAATTTACTCGATCGTGAAATCGAAATTCTTTTTGGATTTGGGAACTTTATTTTGTTATCGAATTAAATAAGAGTTACTGATAAAATGTAGTTCTCTATATATTATATAATAATGTGTAAAATTTGTAATTATTGTTATATGTAATATAAATACACGTAGTCAATGAAGGAATTAGTTTACTTTATTTTACTTCGATATGGTTGGTATTTAATCCATTAACATGAATGAACATTCAACAGATTAAACTAATCTAATAATGACCCTTGACTAATATGAGCGTTTATGGGCGCTTAGAAATTTTGCGTTTGTGACACGGAGGATGCCCATAAGCGCATAGAAATTTTGCGTTTGTGATACAAAGGGAGTCTATGGGCGCTTAGAAGTTTCGCGTTTGTAACTCGGAGGGCGCCTATGGGCGTTTAGAAATTTTGCGTTTGTGACACGAAGGGCGCCTATAGGCGCTTGGAAAATTTGCGTTTGTGACACGGAGAACGCCTTTAGGCGCTTAGAAATTTTGCGTTTGTGACACGGAGGACGCCTATGGGCGCTTAGAAGTTTTGCGTTTGTAACTCGGAGGGCGCCTATGGGCGTTTAGAAATTTTGCGTTTGTGACACAAAGGGCGCCTATGGGCGTTTAGAAATTTTGCGTTTGTGACACGGAGAGCGTCTATGGGCGTTTAGAAATTTTGCGTTTGTGACACGAAGGGCGCCTATAGGCGCTTGGAAAATTTGCGTTTGTGACACGAAAGGCGCCTATAGGTGCTTGGAAATTTTGCGTTTGTGACACGGAGGCCGCTTGTTTTCACAAAAATGGCGCACATCGTAACTCAATTCCTGCCGTATGGTACGACTGCTGCATATCAAAATCTACCGTAGTCAAGGGGTTAATTTAAAATATTTATTGTATACTACTAATATTAATATCGTGGGGTTGCGAGCAACGAAGGACTCTAGTAAGGGAATTGTTGCGGGCCTAGGACCGCAATGTCCCAGGACAAGTGGAGGACTGTTTTATGTCCTTATTATCAGTGTCCTGTGACTTGTATATACTCATTGTCACCTGAACTACCGCTTGGGTAAACCGTAACAAGGACCCAAATTATTTAAACTTCCACCAACACAGCAGGACGTCGAAACTAGCACACACGCCCAATATTATTCACAACCAATCAGTAGACAGACGAAGCTTATAAAACCACCGACAGAGCAGTCACGAGAGAGTTCTAAAAATCCCAAGAAGACCGGACAATCATCACGACCATACTATTGTCACGGAACTAACTTGTAGCGATGAAGAATAAACTAGACCTCTTTACGAGATCCTATCCGTAGAGTAGGTATATGTGGGCAACTTTCACTGCTGCCCGTTGTCTTCCGGCGGGGGAAAGCTCTTCGTTGGAGTTCTAGGAAGGCCTCGCCGAGGACCAAGGACAGCAGCCACAGATAGGGATGCTAGACGCCAAGCTGGGACGTCTGGACTGGAGCTCAGTGGAAGAGGCTACGGACGCGCGAAGACAAGGCGATGGAGAGGGGACCCGCCCAATAAAACAACGAGGGATGTGTTTTTGGGGCACTATCCGACCCGCATACGTTGAATAAAGAAGTTCCTCAGAAGTAAAGAGCATAGTGTAGAGATTGTGTGGGTGTTAAATAATATAAAACTATTTATTAAACATAAAATAATAATACAATGTGCGGTGACGATAAAGACTACGAATATATATATATATATATATCAACTAAACTTTTACAACTACAACTAATAACACAATTATAACTAACAACTTCTTTCTTCACAACTCTCTTCTAATAACTCTACTACAAACTCTAACATACTGCAACATACTCTATACTGCATACTACACCATACTACGACATACTACATACTGCCCGCTTCACGCCCTTGCATCCCTGTTTGAAATCATACATTCTATCCTCTTTCATACCTATTCTCTCTTTCCCAATCACACTTTCCCACGCACTCCTTGCAGTCTTACCCTCAGCGGGTCACGTAGCCCAAACACTCAAACGCATTCCTAGAGACACTCTCCACTTTCATCCGATACATTCATAAACATCCCATCCACACGATCCTAGCGCACGGTCATTCGTCCTTCCGCACGCACTCTAGATAATACGCTCGACCCACTGATCCTGCGATACCACAATAGTTTCACTGAAATCCTTTCCTACATATAACGTAAGAGAAGTGAACGTATATAGAGGTGGAGAAAAACTAACTTTATTCGGGTTTTGCGGTCGGGATATATATACATTCCTGTTATCTTATCCTAGGCGGTTCGAAAGGGGTTGTATTTCGGAGTTTGGAGCTTTAGTCCATCGGATGGTGGTTCGTGTTGGCTGCCGTCACAGGGTTGCATCTTGGACTGTGGAGTTCTATTGGTGATTCATGTGGGCTGTCGTCACACTATCATCCAAGACCCACTATCAACTCAGCGCAGGAAACAGTGTACTATAGAACTTTCTGTAGTTCAACCATAACCAGGCCTAGCTCTATTAATTTAGACTAGGCCGCATGCCAGCAACATTGCCACATTAACGTAAACGGGCCTTACTACCCCGTGAAACTCCCCAAGCGAGTTGCAGTGTTCGGGACGTAGCAGGAATAATAAACAGCGACATCGGCTTCGACTTACAATTAGACGATTAGGACGATGTCTCCAGTATGTTGGAGGTATCAAGGGGGTATCGCGTCGTTCCCTTGATCTTCCTGGTCGCGTGGTTTTCGCCGAAATAATTCGTCTTCGCGGTTGTAAGGCGCGAAGATATCCCGATGTGGATGGACAGTTCGACGCGACACGTTATCTCGTCGACTTAACGAGGAGATACGAAAATCGTCTCGTGTTAGAAGAGAACCGTCGTCTCTGACGTGTCGAAAGGAAGAAGTTTAGAAGGAACCGGTGTGTTCGATGTTTCGAGAGGAAGTGTCTTTGAGAGAACCCATGTCTCTCGGATCTTGTACGGAACTGAGTTCCTCGATCTTCCTAAGATCGGCCTTAGGAAAAATCGGGAGCTCGCCAAATATGATTGGCTGTTTTTGACCAAGGGCGTTCCCTTGGTTCGCAAATCGATGACCTTGGAGAAAGGGAAGGTTCCCCCAAAAAGCAACGATAGCGGAGGAAACCCTCTCCTCCAAGGTGGGGTACCTGGGGTCCACCCGCGCGCTGGTGACCCCATCGGTCGTTTGTTATCCCTAGCGAGGGCCTGAGGTTTCCAACGTGTGCGGACCACGTAGAGCCCTCAGGCCTATTGTCAGCCAAGTCTTAAGAGCCGTCGCCTAATTTCGTTAAATTAGGAATTTCCAGGATTCTCGTGTTCCGCGACACGAGAAGTCAAAGAAAAAAGGTAAAGCAGTCAAACATGCTGAAGGCATGGAGCGGGAAATTCCGATGCCGAATTGTTTGACCCTAAGACCTGGCTGTTGGAAGACCGTAACGGGTCTTCTTTGTTCCACGACGGAACAAGTACGAGTGGATGGATAGGTGACCACGTGCGAGGATTGTGCGGATGAGATATTTATAACTGGGTCGAATGCAAACAATGAACGAAAGTCTAGGAATGCGTCCGAGTGTCTGAAGTACCTGGCCAACCAAAAGTGAGGTTGCGTGGGAAATGAATGATCAACGAAGAGAGCTTGCGTATGAAAAGAGAGAGTGTTAGACTTTAAATAAGGGTGCAAGGGCGCAGAGAAAGCAGAAGGTAGAGAAGGTAGAAAGCAGAAGGTGTGTATATTCGAGACGTAGTGAATAGAGAATCGTGTGTTTCAGAGTTAGAACTGAGAGGAACTTAGTGTAATACCTTAATTAAATAAACCTGTTTTGTTATTAAAAAGGAGTTGTTTATTAAACGCGCAGATCTCTGTCTGCATAGGATTAATTTAGAAAAAATCCTACAATATTATTGTATACTACTGTATATTAAATTACAACAATTTTTATACTACGAACTTTAATATTATAATTAACTTTTATATTATATATAACTTTTATATTTCTATACTACATACTTTTATATTATATATACAGCCACGAACGTATGTGTTGGCATACCTGGTTTTCGACGATATAAATGCTTAAAAATCGTAGGAAAAGACAGAATAACCAATTAAATATTTATTACCGAATTTATAATGTTATAAGATTGCATAAGTTATTTTTTAATTAATTATATTACGAAGAAAATAAATGATTTTCTTTCTAATGTAATTAGTTAAAGAATATTTTATATTCTAAAATTAATGACTCGGTAGTTATGATTAATGAAAAAATGAATCGGATATTTTGTTTTATTTTAAATTTTTACTCCTTTATATCTTTAAAAACCAGGTGTGTCAATACTTATTTTCGTGACATATGTAATTCGATAAATAACGTTTCCACAAATTTATCACTTTTATTTTCATCATTAGCGAGATGAAAGTAATTCTGTAAAATCTCATACTTTAATTTGACGTTGAATTTTATAAAAAACAAAAATAAAAGGTCCGATTAAACATTTCACGGTTATTTCTCATTTTATTAAATATATTCGGTTACCATTTAATTACTTGAATATGCAAAAAATAACAATTTGTGTTCATTTGTTTGCGAAAGATATTACTCGATTGATAACCTCTTCGGAAAATGTGTTAAAATATAGAAGTTGAAATTTTTCTTCAATCACTGCACGAGGTAAAATATCCATGGTGGGTAACAGGGCAATGTCGGAAACTCATCCCACGTTTTACCCACCTTCGCTCATGCCACCATTCATGGGTGCTTACCCTCCGACGAAATTGGATATCTCCTTGCACGAAGGTGGAACCATTGGTTATTTCCAGAATTACAGGAATGAAACGTTATCAAAATACTCGGTAAGTTTATATCAGTTTCTTTAGTCGAAACTTATGATAACAGATCGACTGTTAATTAATTTCATAACTTCGATTTTGTTAATTAAAGAAATTTTATTATTTATTTGAGATGAAACCTCTGTATTTATTATATATATGTGAAAAAGAAATATTTAATACATTTTGCTTTTGCCTTAAAAATTTAATTGTTATTGCATAATTTGATATATATATGTTATTGTCTAGAAATTACGCAATTTTGTATTTTTTAAGTTTAAACATTTTACTAGCCTTTTTCTTTATTTTTGACGGATATTATAATATTATAGCGTGGTTATCATGATTATTGTGGTTATTGATGTTGTACCAGATTATGTAATAACAATTAAATTTTTAAGGTAAAAGCAGAACGTATCAAATATTTCTTTTTCCCCTTTTTTAAATGAAACTATAACATAGGTTGTCCTAAAATTCATGCAAAATTTGAATTTTGCGCTATTTGTGCGGTAAATTGTGTTGCCAACGGGAAATAAAAGACAGTGTGATAGCCGACAGTTCAGGATTATTAAAAATGGCGTGCTAGTCGAAAAAACAACGCGTCTTTATTGTTGAATAATATTTACAATTTTTAATTAAAAATCTGTGTTTCATAGCAAAATTACTAGTTGCCTGAATTTTGGGACATCCAATATTTAATTATTGAATCTGTGTAAGTATATATAATATTGAATTCGTAATTGCATTTTTGAAAATTCTATGATATTTCGAAATTTCATAGTCTTGATTAGATTTACTCTAAAGTAGAAGCTTATAATAAAAATTGTACAAAATATTTTATATAAGTAAAGGCTATAGATTAATTAAAATATTATGAAAAACTATAGAGTAAAAATTGCTATACAATTATTATAACGAACTATTGTATTGGAATACTATGCAATTTTTATATACTGTATAATTTATATTTTGTATAATATTTCGTTTAGGTACAAGTAATATAAACTTTATTTCCCATAAAAGATTAATTTTTTCAATACATATAGATATGAAAAAATAAACAGAAAACGGCATTTTTATTTATAAATTATAGACATAATAATCTCATTTTCTATAATTGTTAATTATCTTTTCTGTTAAATTTTTTATTCTTACACTTTTGTTGTAATACATTTTTTTGACATTCGATTTGATAATCGATTTCAATTTCTTTACTTTCTGTGAATTTTCAAAGAGAATAAAAATTTAACTATGTAAAAAGTAAGTGAGTATCTATAACTGATGTTGCATAATTACTCTATTAACAAGAAAAAAAATGATCACACACTATGTCAATTTCAGGTTTATTTATGGAAACGATTAAACAGCAAATAAAAAGTGTTAATTCACTATTCCTCTATAAATGTTAGTTCGTGTTTTTCTTAGTCGTATGTTACTAAATTTTCAAAGTGTTTGAACCATTTAAGAGTTCGAAATAATCCTAAATTCTACTTATTTCTTATAATTCGTTTCTTCGACTTGTGATTATTTCTGTGAATACACAAAAAATCTGTATTTCTTTAGAAAACTTGCAAGTTTAGAGAATTTGTAAATCTTCTCTTTTTAATTAATATAGCAATTTTAGGATAGTGTGCTGCAGCATTCAAAAAACTTTTAAACATAATATCGGAATATTTAGTTCTAATTCTATTCTATTTCTCTAATTCTTATTCTATTCTATTTTTCTAATTCCTATTTCTCCTATTTTTTTAATTCTAATTCCTAATTCTACCATTTATTTTATTTCTTTTTCTTTAAATTTTCGAATAAAAGAATTACAACTTTTTTTTATTATATATTTAGGTTTGTCTTATGGATTTAGTTTCATATCCAACATAACGATATGTTCATATGGTCATATCCAACAGTATGAATACCTTGTTCTAATCATATAGGTACGTACAGAGATATGTATATACATTATACTGTAGAACAGAACTGCACCCATCTTGTTACATACATAATTACGTATACTTTTGTCTACTTCATAGTATTTCGCAATACGTATAATTTACAGTATTAAACTTTTGTTCATTTACGTGTATGTAGTGCTTCATAGTATTTCGCAATACGTATAATTTACAGTATTAAACTTTTGTTCATTTACGTGTATGTGTAAGATAAAAGAAGGTACCGTTAAAGTACTGTCACGAAACAGTCATTCAACAAATGAACGGAATATTATTTATCAAATAAACGATAATATCGTATTTGTCAATGCAAATGAACTTCATTAAAAAATGTCGAATACTTGTTTAAATTTGTTTCAGCCCAAAGTATGATGGTCTGTTTACAATATTCTTCCAGTTCCGTTTGTTCATGAATCTGAGTGTATAACTAAGCTCTTGTGTCTTTAAATTTGAAGTCCCGAATGCGAATATTAAACGTCGAATGAAAAAGAATAAAAATTCTCATAAAAGAATTCCAATATGACTAAGAAGAGTAACAAAAATGAATGATACGTGGGAGTAATAAAAGCGAGATAGGATATAACAATAACTAGGAAAGAAAGGAATATCAACAATGCATTGAAGCAAAGGAATTGTTCCGTCCCGGAGAACGTGTTTATAACATGATGTTTATTCTAAGGCTTACACTTTTAACGGACCTAACGGTTTATTTTGTATTTTATACTACGATTGCAATTCCGGAGGTTAGATGTGCCTCACCGCCGTTCTAGCGGATTAAGTTTATAAAGGTAAAGCAAAGTTTAGGAATTTTACCAGTACCGGACTCGACAGATGGGACCCACGTGTGACAGACCCAACAAGCGACGGACGGACACCACTTATAAATCACGTCATTGACCATCAAAAATCGGCTCCTTGACAGTTTCCTACTCCTTAGCCAAAGGTCCTTCCGTCACACTCTCTGTCCAATTAAAAATCTTTACTTTTCCGCCACCAACGTTTATTTTGCCCGATCAGAACTAAACTGGAGAAAACACCGGACAGGACACGACGAGACACGACATAGATCAAATTCGAGAAATCAGTTCGTCTTCGACACCGATCCTTGAAACATCTTACTTACACATATAAACGCCTGTTCGAAACGGTACTCCGTTCAACGTCTCCAATATAATTATTCTATACTTTTCTATAAATAAACACTCTCTTTTGACCACAAATTCTGGATCCTTATTATTACAACTAGTCGAAGGGATTCAATACGGTAGGACGCTACAGGAATAATAAACGATGAAAGGTAACGGCAGTAAGGATATGTAAAAAAAAAATAATAATAAACTACGAAAATGAATACCGAAAATGAATGACGAAAAGGAATAGTTGTTAGTGAGGTTTCAATCATTAAGAAACAAAGGTTGGATAAACAATCGACGTTAAGAACATATATATACATACTTCCATAAGGACTCAATCCTTAACTCCAATTCCGTAAACTAACTAATTAGAATCAACTGGTTAACGAGAATCAACTAACTGATTAACTCACTGATTAATCGTCAAGCAAGCAAGGATCAATCAAGTAGTAAACTTGACCGATCTTAGGAAAATCGAGGAGCAGAGTTCTCTTAGAATCGTCGAAGAGTTGAGTTCTTTTCGAATCGTCGGAGAGACCAGTTCTAATCGAGTCGTCAATCAGTTCTCTACGAAACGCCGAATAGAGAATCTTAGAGCCTATTTATCGAGATCATCAAGAGTTTAATTCCTCTCGTTGTACAGGAGTCTATCGTTCGACTCTAACCACGACCCTCTTTTTGCTCGTGCAAACTGAAACAGTTGCTCAATATTAATTTGGCTGGCAACATTACGTGATCGCGAGACGGCCTTACAACCCGTCGAATTTTACAGAATTCACTCGCAAAACGACGCGAAATTTGTTGGTCCATCGATCCGAATAGTAACCTGTGACGCGATCCAATTTCCTTCTCGAAATCCCAACAACTACGATTTTACGAACACCTTATGTACTGATACACAAGATGTAATACACAGGTGTAATACACCTAGTATACTACAAAATACCCGAACGTCTACAATTTCTTACGTTTAACAAGTTGTTAATGTATGTTAGACTATTTAAGTATTTAAACCGATGTAGTACATGTAGCAAGAGGGAGGTACCAAGATTATATTAACCTTTTTAATGCTGAGAATGATATATCGTTACAGATGATTCACTGCACGACCGTGCTTGGATATAAAATTCTTTTCAAATACTTCTTCTTCATAAGTTTGAATGCACATCATTAATATCAATTTGGTATTAATTTTCTATTAATTTTGTAACAGTATGATTAAGCAAATAGCAAATATATATTTAATATCTATTTTCTTTATTCTCGAAAAGTCGAAAATGAAAAAATTTTGCTTCCTACTTCGTTTTTTATTTTTCCGGAAGAAATCACGTCGTGGCTGCGTTTATATGTTATTCAGACTGTATACGATTTTCTATAATAAATCGATAGTGAAGTACGGTAATTTTACTTGTTAGCTTTTTTAGACAGTGCCAGGGAAGGTAGACATTTTAGAGACCATTAATTATTTATTTTGATCGTGAGAGGGAAGCGTAAGGTATATTACCTTATTCCACTTTCATAGTTCACAAGTATACTTGGAAACCTGCGAAAAATACGAACTGCGTGTTACACACTATTTTTCCTTCTATACGACTCGACACAATACGTGCTCGATTACTCCATTTTGTATAAGTTGGAAAAAAACGGTGCGTTTAAGAATTATTGTTACATAGTAGAAAGGAAGGAGTTCCATAAAACACGTATTCCCCATTTCGAATTAAAGTTCATGTTTAATAACAAATATATATGAAGGCAATTTTCGCTCAGTCAGAAATATATACGAAAATCTATTTACATTTAATAACAAAAATTATTGAAGAAATAAAAAATTCATATTTCTTGCATAATTGAAAGTAAGGAAAGAATGTGTACTTTTACTTATACATATTTCATTTAATTGTATTGTAGAGACTTGGCTGGTGGTAAATAATACTATTTATTA